CTCGGCCCCTCTGAGGGAGCGGCTTTGGGCGGGAACCCGGTTTCCCTGTGGGGGGAACTGGGGCTTGCACAGATCTGTTACATGTTTGCGGTCTCAACACCTTTAAAAGGATCTTTAGCCTGAGTGTAGGCTGTTAAAATCGTGTTTATCGTCGTGCTAGCTTCCCACCACAGCGTTTTCTGAGCGTGGATGGGTCAGTGAAAGGGAAAATTCACTGGGGTTTTTTTGGTTTTGGTTTGGTTTTTTTTTTTGTTTGGTTTTTTTTTCTGGCTTGTCCTGTGGAGAAATATAAACGTTGATTTTTTTTGTAGTGTGCCAGGCATATAGGAGAAGTGTTGCTGATTAAGCATTTTGTTGAAGTTACACTCTTCTCGAGGTGACTTTCTGTCAAGGGAGCCTCTTCTCTGTTGGTTTTGAAGGAAAAAGAGGGTGTCCTCTGTCTCCTGTGAAGCTGGACAAAATTTTGACAATAATTTATTTCATTTGCACACGTTTGTATTTTACATTTGTGTTTGTATCATGTAAGATAAAATAGACGAGTGAAGTACTACTTTTTTTTTTTTTTTTTTTTTTTTTTTGTTTAGGGTGGGTATCACTGGGTTTTTCTCATTTCCATTTTGGTGAAAGGACACTAATGCCCGGTTCTGGGTGCTGATGTCCATGACTTGTGTGTTTTGGCCCCCTGGGCTTCCCTGGGATTTACTGAGCCCTGTAGGATTTAATTCACATGTGCCAGCTTCCAGGATCTGGATACATGTGTGGCAAGGCAGAGGGCAGAACTAGTTTAATACCAGAGAAAATATTTGGATCCCTTCCAAGCCTATGCAGAACTCTTTTCATTGCTCCATTTTTGTTAATTTCTGATAAAATAAAACCACATGTGATTGTTGAAATCGGCATGGATCCTCAGGAGGAGGCGGTGGAAGGAGTGCTGATACAGGCCAGCTGTGGAAATTTTGGCCACTGCACTGGTTTTACTCTCTTGTTCGAGTGATGTGGTGTTATAAGTGCTGATGTTTTCACCAGTTCACAGAGGTGAGAGCAGGAAGGAGAAATGCTAACATGAATACAGGTTGTTTCATCAGCTTTAATATGACTTTTAAATGCCACTTGTTTTTCAGATATGATTTTTCTGAGGTGTTCTAACTGGGGTTAACAAGAAACAAAGCCCTTGCTTTCCTTTTAAAGTCAGTTTTAGTGAAAATAAGCTTAAAGCTGCATCATCTTTGTCTTGTTAGGTAGCTTTCTAGGATACAGAGGGAAGACCAGCAGACTCTCTTATGTATCTTTAATTTTTGACATCGGTGTGTTGTCATATGTAGTTGTTAGTTTGGATGTAGGATTTCTGAAATTAAGAGAAACCTGGTGGCATGGTAGTCTATCAGGTAGGACAGATAACTGAAATCGTAATAGGTGCACACTGTAACTCTCATTTTTTCTTTTGCTTCTAGTTCTTTGGTTATTTTACCCAAGTTAAGTGATGGAAACATACACTAAAGATAAAGAAGAATCATCCTTGGGTCTTTGGCATTCATATATGTGTGAAAGGATCTAGGATGTTCCAAGAAAACACATCAGCCAGTTGCTTAAACGTAACAATAACATCTACTGAAGATGGTGCTTTCCAAAAAAAAGGCCATAGTGCAAGAATCCTTAGCCCAGAAGAAGCTGAGAGACTGGCAAAAGATGAGGTTTTGGTGTCTGAGTTCAAGCAACTAAAACTGGAGAGAGAGGCGCAGAAGAACTGGGATCTATTTTACAAAAGAAACAGCACCAACTTCTTCAAAGATAGACATTGGACAACCAGAGAGTTTCAAGAGTTAAAAGCATGTCGAGAGGTGAGATCTAAACACTTCCTCTGTAAAAGATGGTATTGATTGCTTCCAAATTATTTAGTAATGCTTCTGACAAAGCCATTAGGGTAAGAGCTGTCACATGTTGCAGTGCCCTGTGTAGTTTCTCTTAATATTGAAGGTACCTCCTCAGAATCAGATGTGTAAGTTCGGTTTCAGTTTATAATCGACCCATACTGGATACTAAGAATGAAATTTGGAATATTTGTTCTGTGTCCTAAATAAACCACGTGTCTCTCTGTGGTGTGACGTTTTCAGATGCAAGTTGGTGCACTTCAGAACGCTACTTTAACGAAAGCATCCAGAATTACAGGCTAATTGCAAAACATCATTAAGGGGTATAGCCAGATGCATCTGTTGTTCATTAAAGCTGAATGAAAGACAAGACAGAAATGGTACAACAATCTGTTGATTGCTTAAGGGGTAGATGAGAAATGTTAATGTATTCTAAAAAGATTTGTAATTTTGCAGAAATCAAGATTTCTGGTTTGTAGTGTCAGATTATCCGGTGGATACCTACTTCAGTTTTTGAATCGATGGTAATTAAAATTGATTATAGCTTTTAAAAGGCTGATTGAACAGCGTCTGTTCATATCATGAGGAAAGCAATAATCATGTGCTTTATCTTGGATTTCTTCCTTCCCAGTTTGCAGATCAGAAACTAACCATTCTGGAAGCAGGCTGTGGGGTTGGGAACTGCTTGTTTCCTCTCTTAGAAGAAGATCTGAATATTTTTGCATATGCCTGTGATTTCTCTCCTAGAGCTGTTGAATATGTGAAGGTTGGTGTGATATTTGGAACTTCTTTTAGAGTGTCTTTAGAAGCTTCTGCAATTATAAATGACTGTGATGACAGAATTCTCTTGTCATCCTTTTTGTAAGAAGCGTAGAATAGCTTTTGCCCAAAAGTGGAGACTGATCGTTTCAGTGGAGCTCCTATGGAAGAAGCTGATTCATTGCTCAAGTCCTAGTTTTTCAGTGTCAAATTGTACCATTATGGTAATATACATATATTACTTTGTTTGAATGATTTGTGAAGACTGTTTTTTGGTAGCGCTGCCATGACTCTGCTGATGGTGCAGTGCAAACAAAATTCGTTTGGGATGGAAGCTTGCCCTTGATATTTGTTGGGCAGAGGGAGTCCCAGGGAGAATCTTGAAAACAGGGGCATGAAGGTTATTTTTAAGGAAATTTGTAGCCTGACTAGAAATAGGTATGTTTACACTCATTCATAGGTAGGTGGTACTGCAGTCCAAAGTCTTCCAGCAAGGCTAGCGGGGGCTTTGGGCTTTAAAATTGTCCTCATATATTAAATTTGTGATTCCATGTAAATTTCTATATATCTTCTCTTGTGACTGAGAGCCACAAGACACATACTGCGTATCTCATGGGAAAGATGGGGAAAAATATATGTGGCAAAGAGGAGAGGACAGCACCTCCCTGGGATGCCACAGCTGTGCTACAGGATGAGGATGGGCTGAGTGTGTACCCTGGGTATTGCATGACTTAGTGGGGTTTGCCTCCACAGCTCTTGCTGAATCTCTCTCTTGCCAAGACCAGGTTTCCTTTTACCCAACAAAACTGTGGGCTCATTGGCAGGGTGTGTGACGTGAACCCAAACTATTTACAGTCTTTTTGTAGCTCAAGAGCTGTAGTTTGAACACCTTGTAATACATAACTTCTTTTACTAATCTTTCTGTATTTTTAAAGAGTACAAGTAGTGGTAAAAAAGAAATTGTATGTTTTCTGAACTGTCTTAACACACATTCCTTCTCAATTCCTGAGAACAGACTATTCTACTAGTTGTAGTCTCACTATTGTAATATGCAGCAAAGAATTTCTGATTGCATTAGTCACTTGTTGGAAATTAATGTTCTTTTGCCACCATGTTTTGTGTTGCTTGACTGATTAGTTTCACAAGTTTTTTTACTTTTTTACAATAACAAATGCTGCTATTTATCAGCGAAAGCATACTCTCTTAATTTCCCTAGAAAAATGCCTTATACAGTACTGAAAGATGTAAAGTGTTCCAGTGTGATCTTACCAAAGATGATCTTCTAGAAAATATACCGGCGGATTCTGTGGATGTTGTCACACTTATATTTGTGCTTTCTGCCATTCATCCTGACAAAATGCATCTTGTCTTGAAGAACATTTACAAGGTAAAACCAGCTGATTTTCCAGCCTTTGGAGCACTTTCCTGCTTTTTAGCCGGGAAGTACAATTTTTTTCTGAGAAAAAAACCCCTCTTGTACTGGTGATCTTTAATGCTGTGTTCCATGGATGTATTTAGCTAGTTCACCTAGTATACAGGACTAAAATATGTTTTAATTTTTTTTTCTCTCTTGGTGTTGTGAGGTTGTTTGGATTCTGGCCTAATGCATGCCGTCAATATGACAAAAAGGTATTTTGAAGCTGTGACTTGGTCTGCTAGGTTGTATGATACAAATAATGTTTACAGATTGTAGAATTGTTGATAAGGTGTGAATGGCAGTCAACCAAAATTGACTTCCAGAAGATAGAGTGATTTGCAGTTAGGATGTTGTTGTTGTTATTAAACACACTTGATCTGTGGTGATATAGAAGTGGAATGTTCAGAGATCAACATGAATCTAGAGACACTGATCTCCCTGGGCTGCCTTTGTTAGTTGATAAACTGGGATAGGCCCCATCCAGAGGGTGGTTTAAACAATCTGAATTGTGCTTGTTCTGAATTGCCGAGATGTCATCTGGTGACTGCAGAAGGAACTAGTCAACATATTTTTTATTTATGCATATGTGTGTATTTGGGGTTTTGTATTATCAGATATCCTGTTTGTTTTATCATCTGTAGTTTGAAAAGGAAATGTTAGCTTTCTTAGTATATCTCCAGGTGTTTTCCGAAGTCAGGATTGGTTCTTAGCTGGTGCACATAAAAAGGCTAGGGATTGTTTTCTCTCTGGAGATACCTGGCTCATTTAATCCTCTTGTAGGTTTCCGCACAAATTTGCGAGTAATCCTTTTCTCCTCCAACAAATACAGCTGGTATTCGATAACATAGGAAAGTTGCATGCGTCAAATACCTAAAGTCCGCATGTCTGATGCCCATGTATTTCTAAATGTTAAACTTTTTATGGCTTGATTTCTTTACCAAAGAGCAATTAAAACCAAACCTGCAACTCATTTTCCTGAAATAGTTAATTTTTTATTTCTTATTACGTCGCAACACTTTTCTTTCTTACATGAAAAAAGAAATTTTGTGCTATTCTAAATTTTATTATTAATCATTAAGCAAAATCTGGTGCTAGACTGTATAGTACTCAACAAAGAAAATACCCTGTTAGGGCTTGATTTTTAATGAAAACAGTATATTTTTTTCTTTCCTCTGTATCTGAATAGTGTTGCAAAAAGCTTATTTAGCTGATCTGCACCCAGAGAGGTATCTTAAAATTTTTGTAGTCTCCTGTTTGTGAGGAAGCATTTTTAAGAGCAGACAGTCCAGTTCATATATGCAGTTTATATCCACGTTCGTGTTGCACAGGGAATGAATTCAGTATATCAGTCACTTTTGTACTGAATGTGTTAGGGTGCCTTGTCTTAGTTATATGTGTATGTGTCTGTTTGTCTATACAAATAAAAATGCTAAATCAATTTACTTTATTAAAGCATATATGTATTATGTGACAGGTATTAAAACCGGGCAAGTGTGTCTTGTTCAGAGACTATGGACTGTACGATCATACAATGCTCAGGTTTAAATCTGGCAGCAAACTTGGAGAAAACTTTTATGTTAGACAAGATGGAACAAGATCGTATTTTTTTACTGAAGGTAAGACATAGTGTAGAGTGCTTTCTTTTCTGTGAATCTTCTGGTTAAACTTGCTTCGGGGAATTGCCAACATGCCCATGGAAGTTTGGTTGTTTTGTTTTGTTTTTTTTTACACAGAGTAACTGTTAAATCGTGGTGTACTTCATTTGCCATCCTTTTTGGGAGGAAGAGGGTATTTAGACTGGCAGGACTTTTTGGAGCACTTTCCTGTTTACAGGCTTCTCATATGTGCTATAATGTGCTAAGAGCAGCAGTTTCTGAATTTGCTGAATTTCATTCAGCTTTGTTATCTAAAGGAAGAAGGCCAGTGTTCAGTAGCAGAACTGATCGTCTTCATGAAGCAACTAAACAGTTACCTTGGCATCATGCTTTTCGCAAGGCTGTTCCTGATGTGCAAGATGAGGTCTACTGAAGAAGTCAAATGACTTCTAAAGCAGAACCATGACTGCAGTGCTGGGAAGCTTGTGCACAAATCCTGCTGAGATAGCACTGACTAGCTGTGGTCTCTCTTTTCTCCTGTTTTTTTAGTACAGATGATGCAAAAAAAAAAAAAAAAAAAAAAAAAAGCCATGTCATACAGTACTTAAACAGGTTTTTGTTCAGTGCTTGTCATGCTTTAGGAAGGAAGGTAATTGCAGTTTACTGGTGAAGAATTTGAAGCACAGAGACACATAGGAATTTGCTTAGACTCTCACAATGAGTTGGAATTATAGCTCATCTTCTAACTCCCAATTGCTCATGCTAAACTTTAGTGGACCGTTACTTCCCTCCATCAATTATGAGGCATTGTGTAGTAAGAGCTGTGTGTTTATTTCTGTGGGGCTCTTTGTTCTTAGTCTAAAGCAAAATACAGCAACTGAAGAGACCAATTTGGAGCCAAGTAGATGTTATTCATATTTTATGACATAATGCATCACCTAATTGCTTCTGATATATAAAAACAATTAATTTTGTCTGAGCTTGCTCTATTCTTTATAGGATAATGGTGAAATCTAAGGTAATGCCGGCTGTGCTACAGCTTCATTGAAGTATTTCTAGAACTGTTATTTATTGAGTGATTTTTGTTCTGTTTAAACAATTAGCTCTTACAGAGATAATGGGTGCTAAAGGGAACCAAATAAGAGACAGACCTAGCTGTGGAATTTTAAATCCCATTTTTATTTAGTCTTAGAATTGTTTCTGAATTAGAAATTCCTTGCTAGTATGCATGTTTCCTTTGGGGGAAGAATTGAGGTAGAGAGGAGGAAGAGGAGGGAAGGGGAAAAGAGACAATTTATCTTACATTGCTCATGTTAGCAACTGTTTTGCCTTGGGCTGGTCTGTGACTGTCTCATGGACCACCTCTGCTCCCATGTTCAATCATTCTGATCTCATTAATCTCACTTATTTTCATGTAAATATTGCTTAATGCTTGAGAATTCTTTTGTTACTGGAAACATGACTCCCGTCATTTCTGCACAGTTTGCAACCCACATTGTTTTTCATTTGTTTAGTACTACACTGGTGCACCAAGTAATTGCTGCACAGAATGATTTGAATGATGCTTATTTATAATATGTGTGGCCTTAGATAACAACACTGAGCTTCTTCTGTGAAAAAAAAAAATCCATTCTTCCACTTCTCAAAATAATATTACATTTGTGGAAGAATGCAGGGTTGTAATTTTGTGTTATGAAATATGTGCAACTTCCTCACAATGAGATTGCAATAGGCTCACAATTAGGTGCCTTTTATTTATATTGCATTGATGTGGGCCCTCCTTTTTGCATGAACATGTTATGTTTACAGCCAGTGGATGTGGCTCTGTGATGGGCTTGGGTTGATATAAGCCTGCACTACCACCAAAGTGGGTGGTCTCATCTTCCTACCTCAACACACCACCTCTTCTAGTGGTGGGGTTCCTGTACCCACATGATCTGCCAATTTCATCAAGCTGATCCCTCTGATGAGTGTAAAAATGGCATGTCTTTATTTTCTATCAAATTGCACAAGTTTAGAATGGCTTAAATTTATTGTGAAATTACCACCTGAGTAAGTGAAACAAGGTGCAGGAAAGGAAAAGTGATTAATTAACATGACAAGACAACAGCATGAGCAGCCCTCTATGCTGCATAGGTTACCCTGTTTGTGAGGTACTTCTGCCTTCCCTAAGGGAGATATGCTTTTAGGAAGATTCTTTTGTTTATGGAAAATACTTTCAGTTTGACTTAGTGGAGGCTAGGTACCACCATATCCACTTCACCATTTTGTCTGTTTTTCTGTTGAGCAATGGCATGTGAATGTGTGGTAATGTGGCAGTATTCTTCCTCAACCAGAGATGTGTCTACAAGGCTGGATTACCTTTGAAATATTTGAAATAAGCGATGTATTCAGCTAGCGAAGGTCAACTGCACAAAGTGAAAATGCACTGGCATCAGTCACAAGGAGAATGACAAGGCCCAATAAAAATCATAGAATCATGAAGGCTGGAAAAGACCTCAAGGATCATCAAGACCACCCCTCAACCCAACACCACCTAACTCACTAAACCATGTCCCGAAGCACCACATCTACACGTTTCTTGAACCCCTCCAGGAATGGCAACTCCACCCCTCCCCTGGGCAGCCTGTTCCAATGCCTGAGCACTCTTGCAGTGGAGAAATTTTTTCTAATATCCAGCCTAAAGCTCCCCTGGCGCAACTTGAGGCCGTTTGCCTCTTGTCCTATCACCTTAGAGAAGAGGCCAGCACCCACCTC